CCGTGTGCCCCGTACTTGAACCCTAGTGGTTAGAGAGCCTGAAAGCGGATTCTGGGGATCCTGCTCGGAGAAATAATCCGTTGGAAGTGAGAGCAGATTACCAAAAAATTCTTTGTATGTGTCAAGGCTTAATCACCGTGTAGCATCATATGAAACCCGTGGGACGGTTATTGACATATCTTACCCGTTATATATGCAGTGCTTTGGCAACAATAGGAAGTATAGTCTTCCAGTTCTGTGGGAGTCTTATTTCACCAAGACTGGGGGGTAGGGACCATCTGTCACTCCTATTTTAAAGAGGAGGAAATTGCACCGCCTGGCCTGGCTGGCTCCTATAAACCAGGAGGTCATGGTTAGATTCCCCTTCAGGGCACATGCCTGGGTTGCAGGCTCTATCCCCAGTGTGGGGTGTTCAGGAGGCAGCCAATCAATGATGAGAGAAAATCAATGATTTCTCTCTCATCAATGATTCTCTCTCATCATTGATATTTCTTTTCTTTAAAAAAAAATTTTTTTTATTGATATCAGAGACGAAGGGAGAGGGAGAGAGAGATAGAAGCATCAATGATCAGCTGCCTTCTGCACACCCCCTAATGGGGATCCTGCTCACAACCTGGACATGTGCCCTTGACCGGAATCAAACCCAGGACCCTTCAGTCTGCAGGCCGATGTTCCACCCACTGAGCCAAACCAACTAGGGCCATCACTGATATTTCTATCTCTCTCTCCCTTTCCCTTCCTCCCTGAAATCAATAAAAATATATTTTAAAAAATAAATAAAGAGGAGGAAATGGAGGTTAAGTAACTTGCCCAGGGTCACGGAGCTAGGGAGTGCAGAACCCGGTGATTCGAACCAGAGAGCCCAGCCGATGCTGAAGGCTTTCTAAAGGTAGGCATCATTCAGCCACAGAGGAGCATAGAAGCCAAGAAGCCACAAGCCTTGGGCTCCGGACACTCATGGGCAGGGGGGCAGTGTCACCACGGGGCCCAGGGAAAAGTGACAGCAGGGTCATGGCTGGGCTGGAAGGCACCCTCTGGGGCCGGGGGAGCAGAGAGGAGGAGACCAGTGCAGCCTGGGAGGAAGTGGGTCAGGGACACGAGGAGGGTGAGGCCTTGCCAGGCAGGGGAGGGAGGCACAGAGAAGGCAGTTGGCTGGCAAGTTGGCGCGTTCTGGAACACGTGGAAGGGAAAAACCCCACTAGAACTTTCTTCCCCAGGGGATGCTGACAGGAAGAGAGGCCAGGTGGCCCGGATTCCTCTCTGGATCATCAACCTCCGAATGCCCAGAATGTGTCGTCAGAGTTGGGAAACGGGTTCCTGGAAGATCCCTGGCAGGCCTAGGGGCTGCTGGCGGCTGCGGTGGGCGTGCAGTGAGGAGGCGGCAGAGAACAGGCTGTCCTGGCAGTGTTTACCGTCAGGTCCTGTGGAGATGTCTTCACAGCTCAGCTCAAACCCCACTTCCTCCGGGAGCCATCCGAGCCCCATGCTCCAGCAGGGTGCCCGTGCTACGTGCTGGAAGACACCCTGTCCTTTTTTTCCCTGGAACTTCCCATGTCTGTAATACATGTGGGCGTATCGGTGTCCTTCCCTAACCCAGGCTGCCGTTGAAAACTCCAAGAGCATTCGTTGCCCCTGCCATGTGTCTCCAGCCCTGGGTGCAGGGTGCGCGTCATAAATATTTGTCAAGTAAAGTATTGGGGGTCATCGCCTCGATGGCCCCTCCCTTCCCAGCCTTCACCTTGTTTAGGGCCGATTGCAAAATGTAAGTAAAGACATTTTCCACCTCTCTGGGACCTGTGTGCTAACTCAAATGAAAATACCAAGCAGGGAGAGGGAAAACTGTCTAATGTCTGCACCCCTGACATGGAAGGGGGGAGGGAGATGAAGCCAAGCAGCATTGGAGGGAAAAAACATCCCCCTGCAGATCTGAGGTGACTCTTCAGTGGGAAGCAGTGATTGATCCCAGCCTGCATTCATAGAAGGATGCCATCTGGAATGAAGCAGGCGATTTTTCCCTCTCCTTTTACTGCTGGGGTGGCTGTTCATAGTTCCTCACCGAAGGATATTTTTTCCATTGAATAAATATCCCTTTAGACTCTATTCTCAACCTTCCTAATGCCGCGACCCTTTAATACAGTTCCTCATGTTGTGGTGACCCCCAATTTCATTGTCACAAAATTGAACATAATGAAAGCATAGTGATTCATCACGAAAACAATATGTAATTATACATGTGTTTTCCGATGGTCTTAGGCAACCCCTGTGAAGGGGTCGCGACCCACAGGTTGAGAACCACTGCTTTAGAAAAAGGGGAAGGAAGGAGAGGGAAGGGGAGGGGGAGAGGGAGAGAAACATCAATGTGAGAGAGAAATCGATTGGTTGCTTCCCACAAGTGCCCTGACTGGAGCAGGGGAACACACCTGCAACCCAGGTACCTGCCCTTGACTGGGAATTGGACCCGTTACGCAACCCTTTGGTCCACGGGCGACACTCTACCACTTTGCCACACTGGCCAGGGCCCCAAGCCCATTTTATGTGCCTCCTCCTGATCCCCCAATCTGGTAGGGTTTCTTCCTTCTTAAAGCTACCAGAGCTTTTATGTGACCCCCTCTATCCCTGGGCCTCAGTCTCCCATGTTTAAAACAGGGAGCCTGTGAGCCATGGTCCATAACTCTTCCAGCACTGAAGTATCAAGCATTTCACTCTGGCTGTTCTGCGGTGGTTTCACCCTCCCCCAAGTCCATGAGCTCCGTGAAGGACAGAGGCCTTTTCTTTTCTTTTTTAAAAATTGATTTCAGAGAGAGGGAGAGAGAGACAGAAACATCAATGATGAGAGAGAATCATTGATCAGCTGCTTCCTGCAGGCTCCCTACTGGGGATGGAGCCCGAAACCAGGCATGTGCTCTGATCAGGACTCCAACCATGACCTCCTGGTTCAGGGGTGAATGCTCAATCACTGAGCCACACCGGCAGGGCCAGAGACCATTCCTTTTCATCTATCCTCGGTGCCCAGCATCCATAAATACTCTTGCGATGAGGCAGGGTGGAGGGCCACGTTGAGATGGCAGACTTGGTGGAGATGTGTGGTTCCTTGCCTGCTCAGAATCCCACGGAAAGACGGAAAAGATCACTCATTCAAAGGCTGAATGAGCTCCAACTAGTCTGTCAGGAGCCACCTGACCCCACCGGTTAGGTAATCTGCCTGAGTGACTTGCCACCCCC